CAATGGAGGTCTCAGTCAATGAGGTCTTCTGGTTCCAGTTCAATATCAATCACACCCCTAGAGGGCGCTTCTTCCCTCGGCGGTTTCCTTGATGGTTTGCAGCTCAGGATCATATCTCCTTTTACCCCGCGAACCTGTGAAAATGCTGGACTCCTTTTGTTCCAGGGTCTGGAGCTGGAAATGACAAGGGGTAGCCCACATCTTCCTGTCTTCTGTCTTCTGCCATCACCTCACTAAAACTAACAAGCAAAATCAGAGCCAAATGACAAGACAAATTGCTTCAGGTTCTAGGAAGCAGCCCAGTTCAGTTCACTCTGTGGGTTCATAATAGGTTAAACAACTTCACTGAACTGTAACTTCAACAATCGTACCCTAAGTCTGAAGTCTAACATCTTTGATAATAACGTAACTTCAGCCAATAGTAGTTTCAGTGGGGAAATTTTCACCATGTCATCAGGAAGTTTTTCAGCTCCCAATTCGTGTAATTTCCCCTTACTGGCATGGTGGATCTTGAACCCAGGTTCAATATTAAGCTGGGCACCTGAGTCTCCTGCGTCCTGGAGTCACTGGCTCCAGCTCCCAGACCTTGAGCCAGCATCAGCTGCATGTTCTGGCTAAATGATTTTTAACATTAAATGTTTCTTAGATGTACTTTAATAAGTTTTAAAAAATCACATTCTACCATGACCAATGGTTCTTTGTTTTGGAAAGATGCAACTAATTTCCAAACTGCCTTTTAAATCTCAACACCTTTAAAAATCAGCATTTAAAATAAATGTGTTGCCCAAATGCATGTAATAGAGAACTTGAGGAGTTCTTATAAGTAATAATGTTTATAACTAGTTCTCAAATTATGTTTTATTTTCACCATCTTGTTATAAATCCCTGTTACTTGAAATTAGATATCTGACTGGTAAAAGGAGTATCCAGATATGCAACGACTATTTTATCCATATTAAAAGAATAAGTTTTCATGTTTGAGTTTTTGCGATTTATAAAAAGTCACTCGTGGTATGGTAAACTATCAAGTACATGAATTAAATTGTGTTTGAGAGATTTTGGAACCAAACTTGGAAAAAACTTTGAAATATGATGGCTAAATTTTTAATAGTTTTTGTATAGTTATTACTTAGTCTAGATAAAAAGAACAAAATGCTTTAAAAAATTGTTCTTTCATATATTTGCAAATGATTTAGTCTTCCATATTGGCTAGTATTTATTGAGTGCTGACTATGTGCCAAACATTTTACCTGCACCAATTCATTTAATCCTTAGCGCAACTCTATGAGGCATGTACTCTTATTATCCCCACTTACTAGAGAGTTTAAGTATCTTGTTTAAAGAAGTCACACAGCGAGATAGCAGTTAGACTTTCTATGACTCAGGCTTCCTGACTTCAGTGTCTGTGCACTCATTTTCATTATGTCTGTAGTATCCCATGTCTCTTACCCTTCAAATGCACTTACCTATGAATGTTACATTGGAAATATCCACTCAGTAACCTCTAAAGTATAAAGTCAATGAAGAAAGGATGCTCTTTGATCATATTCTTATTTAAGAGATAGTATAACTTTGTATTAAGAACACAAACTCCAGAAGCAGACTGCCTGAGTTTACATCTCAACAGTGTGACCTTGAACAAGCTACTCAGCCTAGAAGTGTCATGATTTGTTTTACAAAACAAGGGTGATAATTATCATAGCGCCTACCACTTACAGGTTTTGAGAATCAAGTGAGTTAGTACATAGTACTTGGAACAGCGCCTGATACCACAGTAAACTTCATAAGCCTTTTCTGATATTATTCAATATGAAGGCACAAGTTGCTTCTTGCAAAGTACAGACCTTTCAAGTGCCCATGCTAATCATAGTTAACAATCATTAAAACAACAGCCCAGATTGAAGTGGTGGAAACAAAAAGGCAGAAAAGTGGTGTTTGATGCCTCTTCCACCACTGAGAGGCAAGTTATTCAACTTCTCTAGGACACAGTATCAACAGAAAAAGGACACTAAACTACTTTTCTGAGGCAGACTGAACCAGTTTTCTTGCAGTCTCTCTCAGGCCTACGATATTTATTATTTTTACTGATTTCTCTGATTTGCCTATATGTATTTGCTAAGCATCTGTCATGTGCAAGGCACAGTGCTAGAAGCTCCACAAGATGAAAAAAAATGAAATAGGATGTAACTCCATGGATCTCTTGAGACTACTGGTGATAGTGACCCATTAAGCTCGGGGAGTCTACCCTCTAGTTGGGGGAGGACGTGGCAAGTCACAGTCACCATAATAGGCTGCAGTAGCAGAGGAGAAGTGCAGTCTGTGCCAGTTCAGAGGAGGCAGGAAGCATAATGAGTGGGGAGCATTAGGAAAAGACTTCAAGGTGGAGATGCCATTTAAACTGAGCTTTAAGAGTTAGAGAAGGGACATTCTGGCTGGAAGAGAATAGAGTTGGATGTAGGGAGATGGGAAAGCATAGTGTCTTCATGAAACAGTGGTCTTCCAATTTGGATGAAATGAAGAATACTGGCAGATAAAGCTAATTTAGATTGAGAAGTCAGGTTAAGATTAGTTTGCTTATGAAGAAAGAGAAAACCTTTAAGTTTTTAGCATGGGTGTGAAGGTTTAGAGCTCCACTTTAGGAAGATTAAATCAACTTAGTATGTTGACTCCTTTCAAGTGTAGGAGCTTGAGGGAATCCTGGTACCACTGATGGAAAATAGGAAATTAGAGGAGCTGGTTTGCTTCTCTCACTACCAAATTCAGATTTATATGTATTTAATTTGAAGAACTGTAGAAATGTTGGACCAGACTTTAGGAGAAGGGGCAGAGGAGAGGAAACAGTGGAAACAGAGCCAGGTATGACCTCAGGGATGTACACATGGAGTTAGTTGGCAGGAAAGAGAAGCCAGTCAGGAAAGAGAGAAGAAGCAATCAGTGGAAGCAGTGGAAAAGCAGTTCTGTGTTTGGGGGTAGAGGAGAAAGAACTGCAGAAATAAATGAAGACTCATTAAATTGTAAGCTTCTTGAGAGTACAGGTTGCTGAGGTTGTTGTAAGACAATCTGTTTATTTAAATATTTCCCATGACAGGCATGGTACAGTGTTTCTCACATTCTTGGCACTCAGTGAATGTTGACTGAGATCTGTATTGTGCAATGCCACACAAGGTTTGAGGAGAGGGAAGACTGAAAAGACCATCTGTCTTTATGATCAGGAGATCTTTGGTTATTGCTCCTGTATTGTGATTTTCCAGCCTTTCTGTTTTAAGAAATATAAAGAACAAAGATATTATTTGTATAAAAGATTAAGGCATATACAACATTGCGTCTAAGCCATGTGTTCTGTTGGACCATGAATGTAAAAATGCTTTGTTTTGTAATAGTACATATTGTCCCTCAGCACCCTGCTTGTTTATATGAATGTCGGTATGTTTGAGAATGTGTGCAGGAAGGTGGAGGTAACCAAGCTGTCCATATCTAGAAAAGTCCAGTGTGGTGGGTGCACACAATGAAATAGAAAGCCACATCAAATGCCCTGTACTAGGTGGAATATGGTAATGCAGTTGTATCTTGTAAACATCATGTCCAGTGAAAAGCAGTAAGAAACACAAATGAGTAAAAAATATAATAAGTGAGAAGTATAACAGAAGTAAAAAGTAAAAACAAAAAAAAACAAAAAAAAAAACAAAAAAAAAGCACCTTAGTATAATATCAGTGTAAATAAAAACAAACTCAAAATAACACTATTCAGCATAATACAAAGACACATACATAGCCAAAGACATATTCATTAAAGTGGATGTCTCCTCGGGGTAGTGAGAGAATAAACATTGGAATCAGGATGAAGGGGAAAATCAGACAAAACAAGAGAAGGACCTTGAAAAGATCAATGATGAGGTATGTGATTAATTCATGTTTTATACTAAACATCAAAAGAATGAAGGGAATATGTGGTGGAAGTGTTTTTTGTTTTTTCAAATCTCAAAACACAATGCAATAAAAGGCTCAAACAATGACAGTAATACCATGTAGGTTTAATATTTATTATGCTCACTGGCAAACAAAAACACAGAAACAATATAAATTATCTATAGTAAAATTCATGCATATCATAGGGGCTATTAATTTGTACTTCAACTATATGGCTTAAAGTGACATTAGGTGTGTTGGGGACAGCAAGAAGGGTGGGGCTACTCATGGTAGTAGCAATAGAAGAGTACACAGGGTGCCACCCACAGGTTCTTCCAACACAAAGAAGCTTCCAACTGGTAGAACTCAACTAATACTTAAGGCTGTCATCTAAGGCATTACTAATACTTGCGACTATTTTCTAGGGCATCAGATATTAGAAAATTAGCAAGCAGAAATACAGTACTTACACTAGCATTCTAGCTCAATAGTTACATTTATTACTCCTTAGCAATAAACATGTGTGTTCTAGCAAATTCATTTTCTACCCATGCAAATAATGAGATTATCTCTCATCAAAGTGAAGTCCAACTTGAACATATCTGCAAAAATATCCCCAATATATAATGATTGGCAGAAAATATGAATAGAGGATAAAAGATAGTTTACTTTTGTATAGCATGCAGGAACCATGATTTCACATGTAGTGAAATGAATCAGATTTCTGCTTCTTTCTCATTCTTTTTAAATTGAAAATTAGAACCGGCAAATTGTGCACCCCCACCCCCACCCCCACCCCATCGCATTGAAAGCCTCACTGAAGGTCTGGAGAGATAAGGCTCAAGGTGGTATATTTTTGCCTTGACTGCTGTCAACAAACAAATAATTCCATTTGTTCCATCTGCAGTTTCTTTTTTTTTTTTTTTTTTTTTGAGATGGAATCTCCCTCTGTCGCCCAGGCTGGAGCGCAGTGGCCGGATCTCAGCTCACTGCAAGCTCCACCTCCCGGGTTTACGCCATTCTCCTGCCTCAGCCTCCCGAGTAACTGGGATTACAGGCGCCCGCCACCTCGCCCCGCTAGTTTTTTGTATTTTTTAGTAGAGACGGGGTTTCACTGTGTTAGCCAGGATGGTCTCGATCTCCTGACCTCGTGATCCGCCCGTCTCAGCCTCCCAAAGTGCTGGGATTACAGGCTTGAGCCACCGCACCCGGCCTATCTGCAGTTTCTTAAACCTGTCTTGAAAAGAACAACAGTTATCTTCATCCTCTGTCTCAGAGATGATCTCCATCTTCTGAATGATCAGTTTAATGAGCTCGTGCTGCTTTTTCAGGAGAAAAGTGAGTTCCTTCAGCCTAAAAGGACATACACATTTCATGAATTTATTTTCAGTTCTTCTTTTAGCCCTTCTGAATGTGGGAAGGCATAGGTTTTAACCTCGTGGTAGTCACAATCCTTCCAGGAAACACATATTTTTGAAGTCTAAATCATTTTTCCCAAAGTTACACTGTTAGTTCATGGCTAGTTTATTTTTGTTCCCCGTTTACAGATAAGAAACTATTATAGGAAAAGGTTAAGCAGCTTGCGCAGGGTCACGGTTACTAAGTAAATAGTTGAATAGGGGTTTGAACTCAGGTAAGCTAACAGTAAAACCCTCAGGTTTAATTACCACCCACCACATAGTTACTCCAAAGATCTTCAAAAGCTTTCAGAGGTTTGCTTTATGAATTCAGATGAAAAATACAGTTTATGATACTGCCTCCAAAAGAAAAGAAATCAGAATTTCAATTTTTATTCACTTATTATTGGAAGGCAACCTGATGATAGTGGCAAATAAGTTGCTGGTTCTCAAAAATGCCTCATGACTCTCAATACACTACCTACAGCCATCAATAAAGCATGTCTTAATATATATAAAATAAATAAAAACCAATATAAAATATAACCTTATACTGTACAGTATTATTTATGAGTTTTAAATTTCTCAAGTTCAGAGAGAAGGAAAAATGTGTACTGGTATTTCTGCTTTAATATTTCAATTTCTAGAGATGTATTAGTATTTGGTATTTCTTGTCTTATTTCTTGAGTGGAAAATAAAAAATAGAATAGACTCTGTGGGATTAAAAAATAATAGGTACTAAAATTGAATTCAATTCAGGAATTTTTTCTTAAGCATGTGCCAAAATTCAACCACCACTGGCACAAATATGCATAAAGCACAGCTACACTCTCAAGGAGCAGATTGTGGAATCTGCTAAGAGAAACAGGCATGTGAAGAACGAGCTATGAAATGAAGTAATACGTTTTATCAGAGGAAAAAATGTACAAATAGAAAAGGAGTAAATTAAGGTAGGAAATTGTTTAGAAAGGGGCTTAGCTGAATTGTTCTATGCATTTTCATGAGAAATGCCCATCATGGAAGGTGGTATTCCATAAGAGATTAGTTGTTAATTATCTAAAACTGTACTGCACATTATCCAATACAACTCAACCAATCAATGAAGTTTCACCTGGAGAAATTTCTGAAATGTTATTTTAATACATTTTGTCTTACTTTAATATCTTTTAAACCATAGGTTGACTTGAGAGGGTCAAGGGCAGATGTGAAATGACAAAGAATGAAGTAATTCTAGGAGTCCAAGCAAAAGAAAATGGTGACTTGCACAGGCCATCCAGAAAGTCAAATGGGCCAGACTGAGGGGGGAAGGAGGTGGAGGTGACAGGTCAGGGGTGACTCTTGGGTGGCTGGTTTGCACAAGTTAATGAATGGTGCTGACATTGTTGCAAGGAGGAACTTTAGAAAAGGACCAGGACTTTTTCACTTTTTTCCTGTAGGGGATATGTAAGGAGAGGATGAAATGTGGAAGCAGTGAAGTTTGGTTTTGAATGTGCTGAATGTGAGGCACCTTTAGATATGCAAGTGGAGATGTCAAGTAGGCAGCTGGATATAGGGGCTGGAAAATCAAGAGTGGGCTCTAGGATAGAGAAATCAGTTGCTGAGCATTCTGTGTTTAGGTAGTAATTATATCCATGGGCATTTGTGAAATCAGATGGGAAGATAGTATGGGGTTAGAATAGAGCCCAAATTGATATTCAGGGTGAATTTATCATTTCATGACTATACAAAGGAAATTAACCTGCAAAGAACTCAGGAAGAACAGTCATAGAGATGAGGGCAGCCCAGGCATGGTTACAATTAGCACCCAGTAATTCTGGCTCTTTATACGGTCCCTCTTCCATTATAATGCAATGGTCTTGCTAAGTCTTTGATCACTTTATATACTTTCTACAGTGAACATTCCAACTCTGTGTGTGTGTGTGTGTGTGTGTGTGTGTGTGTGTGACAGAGAGACAGTTAGGCTTTTTGTCCCCAACCAAATCTCATCCTGAATTATAATCCCCATAATTCTAATTATCTCCAAATGTCAAGGGAGAGACCAGGTGGAGGTAACTGGATCCTGGGGGCAGTTTCCAGTTTCCTGGTCTCATGATAGTGAGTGAGATCCCTTGAAATCTGATGGTTTTATAAGTGTCTGGTAGTTCCTCCTGCATTCATTCTCCATCCTGCCACCTTGTGAAGAAGGCGCCTTGCTTCCCCTTTGCCTCTGTCATGACTGTAAGTTTCCTGAGGCCTCCCAGCCATGTGGAACTGTGTCAATTAAACCTCTTCCCTTTATAAACTATCCAGTCTCAGGCAGTTCTTTATAGCAGTGTGAAAATGGACTAATACAGTAAATTGATACTGGGGAGAGTGGGGTACTGCCATAAAGATACCTGAAAATGTGGAAATGACTTTGGAATTGGGTAACAGGTAGTGGTTGGAACAGTTTGGAGGGCATAGAAAACAAGAAGATGTGGAAAAGTATGGACTTATTGAATGACTTTGCCCAAAATGCTGATAGTGATATGGACAATGAAGTCCAGGCTGAGAAGGTCTCAGATGGAGATGAGGAACTTAGGAATTGGAATGAAGGTGCTTCTTACTATGCTTTAGCATAGGGACTGTCAGCATGTTGCCCCTGCCCTAGAGATCTGTGAAACTTTGAGAGATGATTTAGAGTATCTGGCAGAAGAAATTTCGAAGCAGTAAAGCATTCAAGAGGTGCCCCGCATGCTCTTAAAAGCATTCAGTTTTAGGCATCCACAGAGAGATGGCTTGGAATTGGAACCCATATTTAAAAGGGAAGCAGGCATAAAAATTTGGAAAATTTGCAGCCTGATAATGTGATAGAAAAGAAAAACCTATTTTCTGGGGACTAATTCCAGCCAGCTGCAGAAATTTGCATAAGCAGTGAGGAGCCAAGTGTTAATCCCCAAGACAATGGGGAAAATATTTCCAGGGCATGTCAGAGGTCTTTATGGTAGCACCTCCAATCAGGCCCAGAGGCCTAGAAGGAAAACACAGTTTTGTGAGCCAGGTCCAGGGCCTTGCTGCTTTGTGCAGTCTTGGAACTTTGTACCTCACGACCCACTCGTGGCTAAAAGGGGCCAAGGTACAGCTCAAACCTTTACTTCCGAGGGTGCAAGCTCTAAGCCTTGGCAGGTTTACATGTTGTGTTGGGCCTGCGAGTATAAAGTCAAGAATTGAGGTTTGGGAACCTCCGTTTAGATTTCAGATGATGTTTGGAAATGCCTGGATGTACAGCCAGAAGTTTGCTGCAGAGGCAAAGTTCTCACGAAGAACTCCTGCTAGGGCAGTGCTAAAGGGCAATGTGGGGTAGGAGCCCCAACACCGAGTCCCCACTGGGGTACTGCATAGTGGAGCTGGGAGAAGAGGGCCACCATCCCCCAGACCAGAGAATGGTAGATCCACTGACAGCTTGCACCATGTATCTGGAAAAGCTGCAGACACTCAATGCCAGCCTATGAAAGCAACTGGGAGGGGTGCTGTAACCTGTAAAGCCTTAGGGATGGAGCTGCCCAAGGCTATGGGAGCCTACCTCTTGCATCAGTGTGACCTAGATGTGAGACACCGAGTTGCATGGAACTTTAAGGTTTAATGACTGCCCAACCAGATCAGACTTGCATGGGACCTGTAGCCCCTCCGTTTTGGTTAATTTCTACCATTTGAAACAGGAATTCTTACCCAATGCCTGTACCCTCACTGTATCTTCAAAGTAACTAATTTGCTTTAGATTTTACAGGTCCCTAAGCAGAAGGACTTGCCTTGTCTCAGATGAGACTCTGGACTTGGACTTTTGGGTTGATGCTGGAATAAATTATGACTTTGGAGGACTGTTGGGAAGACATTATTTGTTTTAAAATGTGAAAGGGACATGAGATTTGACAGGGGCCAGGGCTGAAAAGACCTGGTTAGGGTTTGTTTTTCCACCTAAATCTCATCTTGAATTATAATCCCCATAATGCCCACATGTTAAGGCAGAGACCAAGTGAAGGTCATTGGATGATAGGTGCAGTTTCCCTCATGCTGTTCTCATGATAGTGAGTGAATTCTCACAAGATCTAATGGTTTTATAAGTGTTTGGTAGTTCCTCCTGCATTCATTCTCCTTCCTGCTGCCTGTGAGAAGGTGCCTTGCTTCCCCTTTGCCTTCCACCATAATCGTAAGTTTCCTGAGGTCTCCCAAGCCATGTGGAACTGCGAGTCAATTAAACCTCTTTCCTTTATAAACTACCCAATCTCAGGCAGTTCTTTATATCAGTGTGAAAATGGATTAATACTGTGTGTGTTTGTGTGTGTGTAAATGTGTGTTCTTTATTGTATATTATAAACACTTAGCTGTACATACACACATATATATCTACACAGAAATGTAAGTGACATGTGACTAGGAAAAACAAAGTATATCTTTGCTGTAATAAAAGATACTGAAAGGATAAGGTTGGTCCCCCACCCATCTACTCTTACAGGGACAGTGTGTATTTAACACAGATGCTATGGATGAGCCTCCCAAAAGATGAGGGCAAATTTCACCCTCCTGTCACTTAGTCCTTTCACATGTTAAGTTAATCATATTCATTTTTTTAAAGCATAGCTATTTCTTTCTCATTGGCAGACATGGCTCAAAGTCTATAAAATGACCCCCTTAGGGATAACACAAGGAATGGATGTCAAGTAGTGTCAGATTATTGATGTTATTTGTTATGTGTACTTACAAATAATGTTCCACCACATCTGGGTTTGTTGGGATATATGGTGGTGGATTTCCGATCCACTTTGCGTATGCAACAGCATGACAGCGTTGTTTCTAAGCTGGTATGAAGTTCCACCTAAAATGCATTTTGGATTTATTAATAGAATCATTAATTAGTATCTGAAATTCTTATATGGCACAGAGGCAATCATTAGTACAGCAGAATGAAAACTGATTCCTACTTCCTGACTTCTGGACAGCAGCTGGGCTGACCTCTCACTTTCATTTCAGGGGATTCTATGAGAGCATTAAATGACGCTGTAGTAAATGCATGCTACATGTCCCCTTCTGCTGTGGGCTCAGACATAGGTTTCAGAATGGATGCAGAGAGTTGCTTAAGAAACAACTCAGGGGAAGTAGGAGAATGGCTTCCTGGTTTTCCAGTTGATGCTGCTTTTGATCCAAAACAAGGCACAGATAACATGGGGGTACTGGGATTTGTGCTATTTACTTTCAGGGAGCAAAGTAAACAAAATATAGCATTGCACTTTTCAGCTCAACCCCACTGGCACTGCAGTTGAGTGAGCTTCCCCAAGATATTTTATTTTGTACTATTGCTTGTATTATTCTTTTTATTTATCCCCAATGTATTTTAAAGAGGTATTAGGGCATTCATGAGGTATTGCTGATATACCTACCAAGAAGTTTATACATCCCCTTTCCATATTGACATACCTGAGTCCTAAATATCATCTTTGTGACACTAATAACCTGCCATTAGCTCTTCCTACCTTCGATCTTTCCCCACTAAACCAAGACAATAGCAGATCACCATAAACACCATTTTCATTGTGGAGGAGCTGATAATAACCCTCCACTAACTTACAAAGTAACTTCAAGCACTTCATCGTTTGCTGCCCTTTGCTAAGGTTTTTCTCTGCTAGTTTTGAATAAACCCCCGTCATCTGGAACGATCTAATCAGCCACTAACATGAATGATCCTTACAGGCAAGGGGGACTTGGGCCAGTGCCTTGGCCATTTTCCCCATTCCGATGTGGCCCTTTGCTCTTGCTGGCCCCTCCTTTCAGGATGGTATTGATGTCCTGTTAGATCCCAACCATCTTTCAACACTGACTCATCTCACCCACTCCATGTAGCATTCCCTTATTTTTGCATTTTTTCTGTACCTGATAATCATTTAACTGTTTTTGTTCTCAAAATGTTCAGATCGCTCTGTATCTCTGCATAATATACAGCCATGTCATGCAGTGTAGAATTTAAGAATGGTTCTCAGTTGATTTTTGATATTTCATTTTATCAATGCCTAGCTGGTGTGCTAAGTAGACACAGCTGACTTAATAGTCAAGGATCACATCCCTCTGTTTCCTCTGGGCTCTCATGCTAAGTTGTACTGCCCTTTGTATACTATATGTATTGAAACATTGTTTTTCAATAAATAAATGCTAATGTATGGCTGAATGAATAACAGAGAAGAAAACTGTGACAAATAAAAGTGAAGAAGAGACAAGAATGAATAGAAAGTTATATCATAACATGATTTTTCTCTCTCTCAAACTGGCCAAAATGTCTTAATGCGCATAGTCAACTGGTCACCAAATATCCTTGAAGCATCAAAAATGCCCATTTGAATTTGAAATTTAAAGACATTCTAGTCAAGAACAGAAAAATAACTTGGTGTTGTATTACAGAAAAGTACCTCACAACATTCAATAGCTGAGGACCTAGCCAAGAAACTTTGACACCAAATTTTACATCAAATTGTCCATAAAAGTGAGAGATGTCACAAGAGAACAAAACCACATAGATTCTGTTAAAACTTCAGCATAAATCATGCTGTGGGGACCTTGTGATTCCCTGCACAAAACAGAAGAAGCTCCTTTAAACAGGGTGGATAGGATGCCAGTGATGCTCTTGATCTAGCAGCTAGCTACCTGGGTGGCCACAGGTTAACACAAAAGATGCTCAGGCAATTTCTTAATTTCTCTACTAAAATTATTCTAGGACATTTTTTCATCATCTTTGATTACAGCAGGTATAACAGATAACATGCAAACAGACACAGGATGTGACTCCTCAGGATTAAGAAAACATCCATGCTAAATAACTGTGCTCTCAGAAATGGAAGTAATTATAATTGTGTTAATTTCAGTAAGTTTAAATTAGATGTGATGCAGACAATGCCTAATTTAGGATGGTTCAACTCATGCTTTTTTGACTTTATGATGGTGTGAAAGTGATACACATTCAGTAGAATCTATACTTCAAATTTTAAACATTGATCTGTTCTGGGCTAGCGGTATGTGGTACTCCGCTGGGATGCCGGCCAGTGGCAGCGAACCACAGAACCCAGTCAGCCACATGATCAGGAGGGTAAACAATCCAACTCTAAGGTGTAAGTGGTATAAATTTAAAACTGGCTTATTCTTACAAAATTCCCATTTTTGACTTATTTTTAACTTATGGTGGCTTTACCAGAAGATAACACTATCATAAGTGGGGAAGCACTGCACTTACCTGCATAGCTATCCTCTTCAATGATGCATGTTTCTGGACCTCAGCAATGTCACCAACTGCCAAACCAATCTGAATTATGACACAAAATTAAATCACTACAGTTGAAGGTCCACCTAAAAATGCATGTAAGGTCTGTCTTAGTCCATTCACACTGCTATGACAAAATATTTTAGCTTGGGTAATTTATAAATAGCATAAATTAACTGCTTACAGTTCTGCAGGATGGGAAGTTCAAAATCAAGACTCGGGCAGAACTGGTTTCTGGTGAGAGCCCATTCCTCATAGGTGGCGTCTTCTATGTGTTCCCATATGGCAGAAGGGCAAAGGAGCTAATGTGCTCCCTCATAGTTCTTTTATAAGGGAATCAGTTCCATTCATGAGGGCTCTCCCCTCATGGCCTAATCACCTCCCAAAGGCCCCACCTTCTAATGCCATCTTCTTGGTGATTAGGTTTCTATATATATATAGTGTGTGTGTGTGTGTATATATTTATATATTGGATGGGACATAAAAATTGAAACCATAGCAAGGTCTCTGTGGCTAAAGTGGGAGGGTGGGCATAAGATCTACTAGTAGTAGTAGCTGCAGAATACTTTGGTCATACACCTTACAGAAAACTACAAGGCCTATATACCTCTGCAACGGTGATGGCCACATTCGGAGGTTCAGTACTCTTAAGTGTTATGAAAACTTAAGACACACAAATTAATCTGAAATTCATTTAAGATAATCTGTTATTTTTTGAAAGGACAGGGATGATGTGATATCACATGCAATTGGGTGTAGCTACACAACATGGTGGGAAACTCCAGGAGTTTAGTAACTAAGGTAGACAAGAGTGATTTAACAACATGGAAAAAAATACTAAACTGAGAGAATGATACATTTTATATCTTACATATGTTTATAAGGAAAACATATAGCACTGTTTTTGGGAACACGTGGCAATAATTTCTTCAAGTCTTCAGGAGTGGCTGTGTTTCCTTTGGCTTTTATTTTACGGGCCCGATAAGTCTGGAACTGACTATATTCATCTTTCCTTTGACAATTCAGAAGCTCAGAATCGAATGTACGAACCATCTTTATAACATACAGGCCATTATACTTTGTATTTTGCATTCTATCCTAGCCACCAGTTTCATCTTAATTTTTCCTGCCTATATTTTCTTTTCACTTTGAATTTCTCATGGTTTTCATTACTGCTTTACTATTAGTCTCCTATAAGCAATCTCAGATCCACTTAAGGCAGGGAGTGCATATACAAAAACACATAGAACGACTTTTTTTTTCTGACATAGTTTCTGTATTTTATGTTTTTCTAAGGAGAAAAACTTAACAGCTTTTGTAAATAATAATAATCCGTGTTGTATTCATAAAAAGATAAAGAAAGCAGAAAGATATGAAAAATATACAAACCAAAATCTTCAGTGCTTCACTATTATTTTTGGTGCACGCGATCATCACAGCTGTGTTTCCATTTTCTCCTTCCAAATTAACATCAGTACTTCTATGCTCAAGCAAGACCTACACAAAAGTGGAGAATAATTGTCAAAATTTTACAGATTTCCAAATAAAGTACTGTCTTCCACTAGATTTTAAATTCTCAGATGCCAGGGACCGTGTCTATTTATCTTTTTTTATCCTTCTCCCACACAATCTAGCACAACATTCTGCACACTGTGGGTACTAAGTACATTTCTCAAATAGATGAAATAACCATGATTTCAATGTCACAACAATTAAGGTGATAATGAGTTGTGGCATTGTAAATAGAGTAAGAACTGTAGATACTAGTTATCACAGCTTCACTTAATACTTCCGACTTGTATTAGTGAAGCTATGTTAACTAATATTTTCAGAAAAATAATTTTATGGAGCCATTTAGAATGTGTTAGCAGTGAAGGAGGAAGTCAGGAAGGGAAGAAGGAAGAAAGTAAGAGAGACAGAGAGGAGGGAGGAAGGCAGGAAGGAAATGGTTTCTTTTCCCCTTCTAGTCTAAGTAAAATTTTTCTTTTACCTAGATTGCAAGCATCCTAGGAAATGTCAATGGAAACTCTATTCTCTTCAGTAAACAAAACAGAGTTTTGCATAACACTTTGGTATGGCTTAACTCAATTAATTCAAACTTGGTCTGGAATGGAAACTTTTTCTACAATGTAAGAAATTAGCATCCTGGCCGAGCACAGTGGTTCCTGCCTGTAATCTCAGCACTTTTGGAGGCTGAGGCAGATGGATCACTTGGGGTCAGGAGTTCGAGACCAGCCTGGCCAACATGATGAAACCCCATCTTTACTAAAAATACAAAAATTAGCTGGGCTTGATGGCACAAGCCTGTAGTCCCAGGTACTTGGGAGGTTGAGGCAGGAGAATTGTTTGAACCCAGGAGGCAGAGGTTGCAGTGAGCTGAGATCATGCCACTGCACTCCAGCCTGGGAGACAGCCTGGCATCTCTTTGGTGATTTATAGAGAAGTTGGTTTTCTTGTGACTTACCACAAGAAAACAAGAAACAAAAAAAGAAGAAAGAGAGAAAGAGAGAGAGAGAAGGAGGGAGAGAAGGAGAGAGGGCAGAAGGAAGGAAGGAAGGGAAAGAGAGAGAAAGGGAGAGAAGGAGAAAGGGTGGAAGGAAAGAAGGGAAAGAGAGAGAAAAAGAGAGAAGAAATTAGCATTCTGATAAAATGGTCAAGTAATTTTTCTGATGAAATTTCACTGAAGACCTGTTACTGCCTCACCTGGTTGACGGCCAGCTGATTTTTGCCCAAGTGTCTATAGACCTTTGACAAGTCTTTCTTTAATATTCAATGTAATAACATTATCTCATCTAAATATCTTATCAAACCTTTAAACTGGCCTACTAGAGGCTTTTTCTCCTGCAGAAAGACTATGATAAACAATGGCATGTCCTTATAATTAAATAATGTTAAAAGAATTTATTAAATAAGCTGTTTCTCAAAAACATTGACTTCTTTAAAAAAGTTTAAAAACTTTTTACCAGAGCCTTTTGTTAGCAGAACATGCCCCATGTGAGTGTCAGTAAATGAATTAGGTTTACTAATTAGCTCTGCTCATAAATGCAAATTAAACTGAGATTTTAGTACATGAAAATATGTGGGAAAATGATGGATGAATTAAAGGGAAATGAGAACACAGGGTTCCTTCCATGGACTTTAGGCACCTTTGCATTCTGTTCTTAAGAAGCTCTAGATTCATATGGAAAATAACTTACCAAAGAAGAGGCTTTTCTCTCTTTGCCCTCTTAGAATCATAGACCATAAATGTGTAGCATGTATGACGCTGTTATTACTGTGCCACCAAAAGCACAATCTTTCAAAAAGCTGTGTTAAATTACATGTGGCAGGGATCCCAGAGAGAGCAACTAAACTGTGCAGCTACTTCAAATTCAGTCATGACCAGGCAGGTCTGGAAGGTTCGGAGGTGAACCCTCCACAGGTCCCTTTGTTGAGAATCTGGAAAGCCTCATGGAAGGGTCAAACAACTGGACACTTGGAAGTAAAGCCCCAAGGACTAAGGCCTGCAGGCCACTGAGAGACAAAACCACCCCCTAATTCTCAGGCCAACGTGTGCCAGGGAATATTATGCATACCATAAATCATTGTGCAAGAACTTGAAGTGATGCGTGGATGACAGTTTTTTACTTTACAACTATTACAGGCAGCAGAGGAAGGTTTGAGGGAAGGTCAGTGGAGCAGTCAATGGAGCAGCTTCTAAACTGGCAGGGGCTGGGTAGGTACAGGCTGGACCATGGGCATAACTGGGAGAGGCAGGTAGAGAGGATTGCTGTTTGCAAGCATGAGGGGAGACATTCCAAAACACCTTCTCCTCCTTCTATTCCTGTCATTTCTGGTGAGCCAGAGGAGTTTGAAAATATTTTTACACATAGTTGTGGTTGGTAAGACCAAGTAGGGGGGAGTCAATTTTACTTAGAACTCAATTTTTCTGCTTGTTCTGGTGTCATCAGAAAAATTTGTTTTACCTTTCTGTATTTGTTGGTCTGGAGATTTCTGCTCTCTAATTAACAATAGTCATTCAACAGTTATCTGCCTTCAGTTCCCAAACCACATTTTCAGAGCCAATATTAATTGAGTTAATAGGCATGTGTTCTTGAAAAGAGCCTTCAGAGGGAGCAAGAGCTCCATGAGGAAATATGTGACATCTCTGTGGGAGTCCCTGCAGTCACTAGTGGCCCAACCCGGATGATATGGAAACAGCACTTAGCTCATGAATAATGCAGATATTTAATAAAACAACAACAACAACAACAAAACAGCTTGTTTCCAGAGGACTTTCTAGTAACCTCTTCAGGGAGCCAGACCTATCTCATAGGTACTGAGAGTTCAGCTCGCCCCTTCTCAGTCAGCCAGAACTCCCATTTACTCATTCATTCATCATTTGCCACCACAGTGCTGAGGAATACGAGATATTTGGATTAACAAGACACAGCCCTCCTTCAAGGATAATTACCCAGTGGGCAAAAAAAGCACATGAATATTTGATTCCAATATAATGTGTTAAGAATTTTGATAGAGCCATATACAAGGTACAGTAGGAAAGCAGAAAGTGGCTCCTCTCATACCCTTCAGGTCAAATGTAAAGAGTCAAGGTCTCAGAAGGCTGAGAGAAAGGTCTTTGGGCTAAAGGGAGCCGGAAACTCATGCATCTCTTTGGTGATTTATAGAGAAGTTGGTTTTCTTGTGACTTACCACAATAGCCAAATCATCATTCACAATAATATTTCTACAGGAAAATTTATTATAAGTTCCAAATAGTCTTCTGGAACATGATCCATTTGTAAACTCCATTCTTCATCAGTTAAGCATGTTTGTATTTTAGTGTGTCTGACAGACTTTGAGACGTAGTTTAAAAGCCATGGCCTAATTCTTATCCTTTAGCAATTTTCCAGGATTTCCTCTACTTGACTAAGCTTACTCTTAAACCTTGAAAACCAATACGATGTCTCCCAATGGTACTGTCATGTCTTCAGCGAACTAATCTTTTCAACAGGCCATACACTCTAACTAAAACAGCAAATCATAATTACGTTTTCTGCTTTCATTGAGGCTCTCATTACCTTCTTCTTTTGTCATTAAATCGGTCAGGTAAAAGTGATAAAGCCTAAACTTGAAAACATAAAGACGAAAACAAAATTCCTTAGTCTTGCAGTTTTACTTGTGATGTACCATTAGGCAAGCTATTCAAATTCTTTTGGCACCTCAGCATACTCAGCTATGAAATGAGAATCCTAGTATTTTATTAGATCTTTCTTCATAGAGGGCTTATTTAGATGAGAATTTAATAAACGAACACACACAAAGTTCTTAAAAAGTGCTTGGTAAATAAAAACTATTCAATAAAGTTAGAACTAATCATCATTATCATCATTAGTTGGTGAGAAGTAGAGCAAATGTAATTATTATATATTGTTTGACCTGGAAGCTTAGAAGGTGCTCATCCTGGTTCAGGCAGAGAGAGCTGGATCTGGGTCCCAGCACCTGCGCCACCAGTCAGGCCCATTGGAGCCGGCCAGTAGCCTTACCTTCATCACCTCATTGTGCGTGCCCTGCACAGCTAAGTGAAAGGGCGCCATCATGTTGAAGTTTTGGAGGTTTGGGTTTGCTCCTCTGCTGAGAAGAAACTTAACGCTTTCGATTTGGTTTTTTTCTACAGCACAGTGCAGAAGGCTATTTCCATAATCATCCATAATAATTGCATTCAGTACTAGAAAAAGAAACCAAAATATGGATTAGATTTTGCTTGGACTGTATTCAACACCTCCTGAGTGCCTATCCACTCCAAACTCAGTGCCAAGTGCAACTGACATCAGCTGCATCTTTTCTATGGTAACTAAAAACATAGCTTCAATTCTCATGAAACATTTAATGGGCACCTAATGGGAATATATAGAAGCATTGTACTGACTTTATCAAGTGAGTTAAATTTCTATTGGCAGCATTTATAAGAAAAAGATCCTCCTATTGCTACATGTTTTTATCTATGTGAGTTTGGGTATTGTGATAAAATATTGAGATTATGTAAAAGAAAGAACTATATACCGGGCACTCTACGAAGTTCACGTGACCATTATTTCATTCAAGCCCCAACAGCCTGGTGGGCATCACCATGACAAATGTTCAGAAGGAGGAAGATGCTGAGGTCCAGAGAGGTTAAAAGTCTTGCCAACATCACAGAGCCAGTAAGGAGGTATGAAAGTTACCATGCCTCTCTGAACCTCAGCTTTCTCATATTCAAAATTCATTAAAAAATTCATATGTCTACACACAGAGAGAGAGAGAGAGACCTTGCAACGTTGTAGTGTTACTGGGACAATAATATTAAATCGTGTCTTTAAAGATCACAGCAGAGTGCCTGGCCTGTAGGAATGGCTCTGAAAATGTTAATAAGAAAAAAAACCACACCACTGATAAACCACAAAACTAGAATTCGAGCTTGAGCCCCTGATGCCACACCTGGTTTCCACAAATTGCTACAATATGATATATGGCACTATGTACCCTGTGAGCTCAGCATATAAATAATATGTCCTTTCATCCTGCAAAGTCCTATAGCTATTCTAAAATGGACATGGCTGACTGCTTTATCAACCTTGTAAATTGGTGGCAGTGTATCTTTATGTCCAGGAAGGGAGAAAAAGTATTCTCTCATAAATATGATTTGGGGACTATCTATGGTACTTGGAACCATATAGCCACGTTTCCTGTTTCTCTCCTTTTAAAAATATATCTCTCCACTATTTCCTTTCATTCATCTGAGTGCTTCATTTTAAAAAACACACACACACACATGCAGGGGCACACACACACATGCATGGGCACACCCACACATACACACATCTCTTGACTGTTCTGTCTGATCAAGAAGAATCACTCCATTCATCATTCCATTTGGCACCAAACTTAAACAGGGATCTATATTTACAAACTCCCATTCACTAATTAAGTAACTTGAATTTTGCTTTTATCCTCATCACTTTTCAGAAATCATTTTTACAGAGGTCACTGGGGCCTTCTAATGTAGGGGCTTTATCGTGATCTCCTTCCTACTAGGATCTCTTTGTGGTAAGAGCTCCTTCTAACACTTCTGTCCCAGTAATTTCATCCACGACTTGAGTATCATCAATCTTTTATCCATTACTATCTTCATCTTTTTCTGGCTTTCCCTCTGCCATCTCTCTTGATGTTTGTACTCTACTCTTAGCTACCTTAACTAGCAATTTTGTGATCCCCTAAAGTATTTTCATGCATTTCCACTGTCTCGTTGACTTCCTATGCAATCATGCTCCTGTAGGGCAGCCCCTTTCATTCTACATTTCTGGATATTTCCAGATACTGTAGAAGATTGTAGATAATGCCTGCTGGATATTTCCAAGTGGATGTCCCCTGGGCCTTTCAAACTCACAGTGACCAAATCTCACACCTTGGCACTCAATCCCTTTGTTTTCTCATATTCCTCCTTTTGGGGGATGTTTATATTATTAGCCTAATCTCCTAAATTTAAGAATTTCAAAGTCAGTTCCAACTCCCTGCCCCTTTCTTTTCCCATTTACTCTGCTGTTAGGTACTATTGACTTTACACTCCATTATCTCTTGAACCTCTCCCTGTCTCCTTACTGTAGCCTCACAACCCTGGTGAACTCTTATCCTCTGTTTACTATCAAAATAGCTTTTTAGCTTGGCTTCCACTTCTAATCCATCTTCTACAATATTGGCGGAATTATCTTATATGGTGCAAGTCTTACCACACCACCTCACTGCCTCCATCTCTGTGGCATCCACCTCCCTCGCTGCCTACAGTTGAACTGCTTAAACAAGGCAGAGTGTACAAGGCTGGCTCTGGAAAACATTACTGTGGGGGGATATTACACCTTCTTGAAGTATCGATTTTCTTCAATGATAATAATTTAGGTATAGAATAACCTCAATGAAAAGAGGTTAATAACCTCAGTGGAATGAATAGAAGAGTACATAAATATATATGCATTTTTACAATCTATCTAAAAAATTCAAAGAAAGTTTGTGCTTGTTGTGGGGTGTCCTAGATCTCTGCACTACGCTTTGCTATATTTCAGAAGAAGAAGTTGAGGAGTGCTGGTGTGTAGGAAAATCCACATTTCTAAATGAAATATACAAGCTCTTTATAACTGAAACTAATAACCTTTAAGAATCACTTTGTTCCACTCTTTCCAGTGAATTGAATGGCTTGAAGGATTTCTAGAAGATGCATTGTAATGTTTTGTTACCTCCAGGAAGGAAATCTTCAGGGAACATCTCCATCCACTCAAATTGACCTTTTCCTACAGCATATTGCGAAGGGAAGGCGTTCATGTCATCACAATTGTTTAATATCTTTTGTTTCTTAAAGTTTTGTAATCCATATCACTTCCTTCAAAATCCACCTAGAGGTATTTAAACACCATTACAACAAACAAACATATGCAAAACTTATGACTAAAAGTTAATCATTTTATAGCCTTAAATAATTTATTATCCAACACTCTTTATTGTGCTTATAATAAAGTAAAAGTTTTTCTTGAAATACACAAAATATTTACAGATACAAAGAAGGTATGAAAAAATGCCCCTAAATTGTTCAGTATATGAAATAAATGTTTTTATTTTTTTGACCATAAACTCATATATGCTTAGAAATAAAGGCCTTCTTCTTTGTTGCCAAGGAAACATAGAAATCTTCCCCAAACAAATGAATCAGATACTTGCTTTAATTCTACCATTGACCATAACTAGTCACATATGCCACATGATAATATACGTGTTCAAACTCTAGTTTGCTATTTTAAGGATAACTAGAGCATTTCTCACTACTGAAGAGAAAAGCTATCAATTAAAATGATACATTAAAGTATTTAACATATCTTAATATAGCTAAGAAATGATTTAGGATATGAGGATTTATTCAGTAAATGTCAAATTGGAATAAATAAAACAATTTCTTAAATTTTTGAACTTTGGATTTTGCTTCTAGAATCGCAGAACAGTACTTAACAAATCACTCTTCTACGGTAGTCTCTTAAACTGAGGTATGTTACTTTTTAACTTATAAAAAAGATTTCTATATAAGCTACATATGTCTTTAGTGACTACAGGATATGACAATGAGCATCCAACCACTTCCAAATTTACACATATTCAGTAATAAACGTAAAACGGGATTATTGTAGAAATAGGGTATTCTCCATATCTCATGCTTTCAAAGAAAATGTTGATCTAAATCTATTTGGAAGTGTTCTGGCACTTGAATTTGATATGCGATTTGGGTAATAAAGGGATTGTGCTGCCCACTCCCTAGTGCCAGAAAGAGCAGTTTAGGATGTCTGTTCAGCGATGTGCTGTCAACACAAACCCAATTCCACACTCTTGAGAAGGAGCACTGGGTTCAGATGCTCACAAGGCACTATTGAATTCACAATGACAAAACAGCATCTAAGTACTTTACAAGAGCATATCAGATGTACTAGATCTTCTCAATCACTACCTGACATATTGTCAAGCTTTGAAAAGATTTCTTAAAGTTCTGAAAGTAAGCCAAGGATGTCATTTAGACGTTATATATTCATTTAATGTAGTTTCATGTTGTCACAGAGTCACTTCAGATTCCTTATGATTCTGAACTATGTGATTAGATTCAGAACATAATAGACTAGATCACTTTTAGGTAAGCTAATTCTGACTAAACCCCTTAAAACAGAAATATCATATATATCTGTTTTAGGTTGCTTTAATGAAATACATATAAACAGCAATGTGGCCAAAAGGTTGGAAACTAAGGTGAGAGATAACAATTGGAAGGTCAAATGCTAAAGTATTCACTGTCTTGAAAGAAAATAACTGGAAAAGGCTAAAAGCATCAGTCCAATGGTTCTTCGTCCACATTTCTCATCTTGTAAGTTTTCTGTGATCCTTCAGTTTTGTTAGTGTTCCTGAGATACTGTGTATGCGCTGGAGAAAATATGTTACACAGCTTTTCTTTTAAATTAGGAAACCACCAAAAACCCTCTAGAGTTCAAAAAGCCCTTCACAGTATTATATATGTTTCTTTGTAATGAGTACAACCCGTGAGATTTTTACAAGATGATCTGAAAGTACCACAGCTAATGAAATAAAATATAAAAATCCCTCAATCTAAAAACTAGAATATAAATAAATAAAAAGCCTTAAATAGGCCACGTGCAATGGCTCACGCCTGTAATCCCAGCACTTTGGGAGGCCGAGGCAGGTGGATCACAAGGTCAGGGGATTGAGACCATCCTGGCAAACATGGTGAAACCCCATCTCTACTAAAAATACAAAAAATTAGCAGGGCATGGTGTCAGGCGCCTGCAGTCCCAGCTACTCGAGAGGCTGAGGCAGGAGGATGGTGTGAACCCGGGAGGAGGAACTTGCAGTGAGCTGAGATCGTGCCACTGCACTGCAGCCTAGGCGACAGAGCGAGACTTTGTCTCAGGAAAAACAAACAAACAAACAAACAAAAAAAGCCTTAAATAGCATAAGTGGTTCTACTTAGGCAGTAAATCTAAATAAGGACAATTAGAAACATGAAGAAAAATAATTTTGAGACTTGGTGTTGAGAAATCCCTCAGCAAATATCTCTAGAAAATGAAACCACAGGCCAGGCATGGTGGCTCACACCTGTAATCTCAGCACTTTGAGAGGCTGAGGCAGGTGGATCATGAAGTCAAGAGATCAAGACCAACCTGGCCAACATGTTGAAACCCCTTCTCTACTAAAAATACAAAAATTAGCCAGGCATGGTGGTGTGCACCTGTAGTCCCAGCTACTCAGGAGGGTGAGAGGCAGGAGAATTGCTTGATCCCAGGAGGCAGAGGTTGCAGTGAGCCGAGATCACGCCACCGCACTCCAGCCTGAGAGACAGTGTGAGAAAAAAAAAAGAACAAAGAGAGAGAGAAAGAGAGAGAGAAAGAGAGAGGGAGGAAGGAAGGAAACCACATGGGTGATACTAAAAATTTAAAATTTCTTACTGTCCCATATTGATTGTAAAGATACTATCCTAGAGGGTGAAATCCATTCATGACTCAGTTTTCTGGAGTAAGTCACAAGGCCACAGTTACTTTGCTAATATTAAGAAGGACAAAAAATGTCTGTGGTCACGGTGGACGTGCCAACAGACTCACCTTGGGAGGCCTGGCTACTTGATGTGTGTGATTTACCATACATGCATGCCTGATTCACACACACAGCTGGCAACAGTGCCAACTTGTGCGACCTATTTAGAGAGGAATTTGGCAATTTCTACCAAACTTAAGGCTGTATGTACCTCTTGACCCTGCTAGGACTTTTACATACAGACAGTCCTGCAAAAGTACCAATGGAAAGACAGACAGAGAAGCCACGTCTACACTGACAGACACACTCAGTCACGTGCATAATAGCAAAACAAAGCAAATACAAAGCAGCTTGAGTGTCCATCAGTGCAAGACTGGTTAAATAAATCATGAGCTATTAATACAGTGGTAAGAGGTGACAATGTGCTAGCAGCCCTCACTCTTGGCACCTCCTCGGCCTCGGCATCCACTCTAGCAGCAGGGCTTGAATAGCCCTTCAGCCCCCCACTGCCCCTCTCTGGGCTGTCCGAGGCCAGAGCCGGCTCCCTCTGCTTGCTGGGGAGGTGAGGAGGGAGAGGCGCGGGTGGGAACCGGGGCTGCACTCAGTGCTCACAGGCCAGCGGAGTTCCGGGTGGGTGTGGGCTCCAGGGCCGCGCACTCAGAGCTGCCGGCCTGCGCCGCCCGCCCCGGCAGTGAGGGGCTTAGCACCTGAGCCAGCAGCTGCAGAGGGTGCACCGGTCCCCTGGCAGTGCTGGCCCAGCAGCACTTGAATTTTCACTGCGCTTGAATTTTCACTGGGCCTCAGCTGCCTCCCCGAGGGGCAGGGCTCCGGACCTGCAGCCCGCCGTGCCCGAGCCTCCCCCTACCCCAGTGGCTGTGGGCTCCTGTGTAGCCCAAGCCTCCCCCTACCCCAGTCACTGTGGGCTCCTGTGCAGCCTGAGCCTCCCCCATGGGCACCGCCCCCTGCTCCATGGCGCCCGGTCCCATGGACCACCCAAGGGCTGAGGAGTGCAGGTGAGGCTCAGGACTGGCAGGCAGCTCCGCCTGGCAGCCCCAGTGCGGGATCCACTAGGTGAAGCCAGCTGGGCTCCTGAGTCTAGTGGAGACTTGGAAAATTTTTATGTCTAGCTAAGGGACTGTAAATACACCAATCAGCACCCTGTGTTTAGCTAAAGGTTTGTAAATACACCAATCAGCACTCTGTCAAAATGGACCCATGGCTCTCTGTAAAGTGGACCAATCAGCTCTCTGTAAAATAGACCAATCAGCTCTCTGTAAAATGGACCAATCAGCAGGATGTGGGTGGCATCAGTTAAGGTAATAAAAGCAGGCTGCTGGCGCCAGCCAGCGGCAACTTGATTGGGTCTCATCAACACTACGGAGGCTTTATTGTTTAGCTCTTTACAATAAATCTTGCTGCTACTCACTCTTTGGGTCCACCCTGCCTTTAAGAGCTGTAACACTCATGGCAAAGGTCAGCAGCTTCACTCGTGAAACCCATGGGGAAGAAAGAACAACTCCAGATGCACTGCCTTTAAGAGCTGTAACACTTACCACCAGGGTCTGCAGCTTCATTCCTGACAGGGAGACCATGAACCCACCAGAAGGAAGAAGCTCTAGAAACATGTGAACATCTGAAAGAACAAACTCCAGACACACCAGCTTTAAGAACTGTAACACACTGCGAGGGTCCGTGGCTTTATTCTTGAAGTCAGTGAGACCAGGAACCCACCAATTCCGGACACAGTGGGATATTATGAAGCTGGTGAAAACTGGTAAATTTCCAAGTGCTGATTTATGTTTTGGTGTATTCCAAAATATATTTTGTGAGTAAATCAAAGTGGAAATCTGAGTTCATACTTTTGCAAATAAAAAAAATAACTATTAACATGTGCGTTTTCGTGTAAGCATTTTTTTTTTAACCTGGAAAATACCTAAGAAACTGTTAACATGATTCCACTGTTGAAAGAGAGTTGTGAGGAGGGTTTGGAGAGTCTTTTTAATGTTGTCTCAACCTTTTAAGAGAGGCCCTTTTTCCTGCTGACAATCTGATGAAATCCAGTGGTGGACTCTGAGCACCCAACAGCCTTTATCCCTCAGACTACACCATCAGGTCGTAGCTAGTGCTGCCTTTAGGGCCAAGAACTGCATAAGAAACAAGTAACTATCCTAGAGCCTCAGGCCACTCATCCATCTTCAAAAGGTCACCTCCTCCACAGCATTTCCTGACGCCCGCACCTCCCGAAGAAGGAATTCGCCATTCCTGCCTCCATTTTACAGGGGACATTTTCTCTGGTTTCTTTGTTTCACTGTTAGACCAGAAACCTTCTCAACCCCCAAAACTCTTAAATAGCTATCCGACAACAACCAGACACAGCCATTCAGCTCTTTGGTTCTAAACAAAATCTACAAAAAAGTTCAAGTGAAACGGCACACATTCCAAATTGTCCTGATTTTAGGCAGCTGCCCGATCTTGTGCCAAATGATAGATACTTTTTGAGTAGGTTTCCCTGGACTACAGTCGTCCAGGAACAGGAACAGATTGGGCAGACAAGCAAACAAAGCAGGCGCTGTGTGGGCGCGTCATTAGCGGGGTCTCCTCTAGGACTGTGAACACCTCCCCCCAAAGCCTGCAACCCCCCTGGCCACTCCACGCTTTCTTCAAACCAAGGGCTGCTCGCAAGGAAACCTAGAGCCGACCCCGACCAGACTTCAGAAACCGTCCCGACTCTCCAGCCCCCAGGGTACCTTAAGCGATACCTTGCAGTCCCCGGCATCGTATGGCACAACCTCATAGACAATCGCCCGGGGGCTCCTTCTTTTCTCCAGGGCGCCGCATCTTCCTCGGGCTACGCTTCATTGACGCCACCTGGTGCAGCGCCGGCACCTGGGGCGAGACAGCGCTGTCACCCGGACAGGCGCTGGCGTCTGCGCGAGCCGGAGCGCTCCGGCGCTGCAGCTCACAGGCAGCGAAAAACTCGCTCCGCGGGAGCCCTGGAGAACTTCTGGAAGTTCTCAGGCCCGCCCTACTTACAGTGCAGGAAGCAGGCGGGGCCTGGAGAGGAGGTAGAAACACAGACCTCTTTCGCAAAGAGGGCGGCGGTTCCCCGTCTGCCTGGGACTCGCCGTTTCCGGAGCAAAGTGAGTCGCCCGTCCCGCTCTCCTGCAGCTGCAGCAGCGCACTCGCAGAGTCAAGCGTGTCAGTTCGGTGTGGATGCAGCGAATTTGTTATAATCTACACACTAAGAGCCCCCTTGCCTCGCCCTGCCGCCCCCCTCAACGGTGTGTGTGTGTGTGTGTGTGTGTGTGTGTGTAAAGAGAGGAAGAGAGATTGACAAGGTACATTGGAAAGTTTTTTTAGTTTTCAGGATTTTTTTCCAACTAAAATTCTATGGACCTGTGTTTCCCTCCATGTGTATCTCCTTCTGGGGGCCTCTTTGATAAGGAAATAAGGCTTTTAGCAAAACTTCTCATTTCAAACATTTAGGAGAACAGCTAAACGCTAGCACTGGTTTGAGGGACCAGATTAAGTCCTCATGAATCTCAGGTCCCATTTCCTGTGGATAATAATATTGATCCCGTCATGCTTTGGTGTTTAAGGGTGGTTAATAAAAAAGTTAGGTTAAAGGTAAGCCACTGCTGACTGGTATGTTTGTTTGCCCCCACCTTTGTTTGAGAGACTTACCTTCATAGGTCTGCTCTGCATACGTGTCAATTGTGTAAAATAAAAGGTGTTCCCTCTCAATCGAAGAGGCTGGTTCTACTTTTATGTACAGACAAGGGAGCCTCTGAAACTGTTGCCGGTAAGTTCAAGTTTACAAGGCTAGAAAGCAAGAAACCTTTCTAAGGCTGATTATACCTTGCACAGGACAGAACGTAGCTTTGACAGTCTTTTGCTTTGACAGACTGCTTCCTGAAGGCCCTGGATTGTCGTATTCTCCTGCTCATATCCAGCACTAAGCACAAGGCCCCGGTGGATCCAGGACCTGGCATAGAGGTGCACTCAGTAACGGTTTGTGGACTGTCTGACCTAGGGGCTATGGTAGGCTGAGCTTAGGGCTAGGCAGAGTGGGCATGACGATGTTAAGGAACCATGAAAGGTTCCCCCCAAATCTTCCAATGGATATGGCAGGTTGCCATCAATTCCACCCCTGAAGTGGAATTTCTTGGAAGGATTATATTGAACTTAACCACATCATGAGTCCATGAGTATGGCTTGCTAGAGGATACAGGTGTTCAACTTCACCCTCTCACACTTTTCCCACCAGCATCTTTGTTCAGGGTGTACAGAATAGGAATCAGTTGCACAGCTTGCTATGATTTAGTTGAAGGAGGTAATGCATTTGGAGAAACCAGTAAAGAAAAGAATCAAAGGGATGGGTAAAGAGAATAACTCTCATTGAGCCACCGCTGTCTACCTGACATTTTCCATACACCGGGTTCACACTTTAAAATGGAAATACCTCATAGGAGTATGATGACTTTTTATTCTTTATCATTGATTACTTTGATCAATTGCTTTTCCCACAACACTTAGCTGGAAAGGGTCACTAAGGCAAAAAGGGAATAAAGAGGTTGTTCAAAGTGGTCATTTTGGAAGCTGGGGCAAAAGGCATGTCATCAGATGGCTCTGTTGGCCCTTAGAGACCAGGGAGGGAGGTGCTGCAGGGAACTCCAGCAATGGAGGATGGAGGAGAAGGCTGGGAGAAAAGTGGCTCCAGGCCAACAGCACCCCTCCTTTGTAACATCCCCTGGGGTCAGCTGCCAGCACAGAATGATGCTTTCTGCATTCTTGCTTCTGTACCCTATTTATATCCCCAAAGCATGTATTCTTTTAAATTTGTCTTCTCCAGCTTTAACACTGAAAAATATGGATGGTTAGTATTATAGAACTGAATGTTTATATATATATGTACACACACACACACACACACACACACACACAGAGAGAGAGAGAGAGAGAAAGAGAAGTTTGTTTCTAGACCCCTATCTTCTTCTATTGATCAGTATCCCTATATTTAAGCCAATACCATATGGTCTTGATTTATATATTCAGATTATTAATCCCTTGTCAGATGGGTAGTATGATGGTTAATATTAGGTGTCAACTTGACTAGATTGAAGGATGCCTTGATGGCTGATGAAGCATTATTTCTGGGTATGTCTGTTGCATTGAGTCTATAGGTCCATTGGGTGAGAAGGGTCATTTTTAAAATATTAAGTCTTCTGATACATACATGGCATATTTTCGATTTATGTAGATCTATCTTGATTCTCTTGGTAGTGTTTTGTAGTTTTCCATGTACAGTTCATGCATATTTTTGTTAAATGTATTGTTAAGTATTTTATTAGTTTTAAGCTATTTTAAATGGAATGGTTTTTTGTTTGTTTGTTTTTGTTTTGTTTTGTTTTGTTTTGTTTTGAGATGGAGTCTCATTCCAGGCTGGCGTGCAGTGGTGTGATCTTGGCTCACTGCAACCTCCACCTCCTGGGTTCAAGCGATTCTCCTGCCTCAGCCTCCCAAGTAGCTGGGACTACAGGCACGCACCATCATGCCTGGCTAATTTTTGTATTTTTAGTAGAGACGGGGTTTCACCATATTGATCAGGCTGGTTTTGAACTCCTGACCTCATGATCCACCCGCCTTTGCCTCCCAAAGTGCTGGGAAAGTGCTGGGATATAGGCATAAGCCACCACACCCAGCCGGAATGTATGCCTAGTGACTTTGAGACCCTTCGTGTGATAGCTGCCTTTAATGAGGGGCCATTGTCACTTTGTAGGTACTTAGGTAGACGAAAGCAGGGAATTATTTCATTAAATAACATTTTTATTACCTTAGAGGCCTTTTCTGTACAGCATGGAAATGCTTCTACCCAGTTAGTGAAAGTATCTACCCACACCAGGAGATACTGGATGCCCTTCCTCTTTGGCATATGGGTGAAGTCTATCTGCCAGTCCTCCCCTCGATAGCTTCCCATCTTTTGTGTTTGAGGAGGAAGGAGCCACCTGTTGAGGGGATTATTTTTAAGACAGACTTCACCAGCATTAACAACCTGTTTTACTGTTTTTAATAAATTAACTCCTGAAAACAATCTCTGGGCACATTGATAAGTTTTATCCTTTCCCAAGTGAAAAGCTTGGTTTAGGATCTTAAGGAATTTCCACTGGTTGAAGGTGGGCAAGTAGAGCTTGCCATCCTATGACTGTAGACATCCAGAGGGTTAGAAATTGTACCCTCGGCAAATAGTGAATTCTGCCTCTGCAAGGGAGTACTAGGGCTTAATTTCTTTTATGAAGCTGTCACAAATTAGAGGGGCTTTGTCTGTTGAGGCCCTGAAGCTTTCTTGCCACTGACTTGGCTGCCTGATTAGCTAACTTGTTTCCTTTGGCTATTTCATCTGTTCCCTTCTCATGACCCTTAGAATACGTCACTGCCACCTCTTGTGGATGGAAAACTGAAGATAATAATTGGTAAATTTCCTGATAGTATTTTATAGGAGATCCATTAGTCGTAAGAAAGTGTCTTTTTTTCTAAATGGCAGCATGAGCATGAAGAACTAAGAAAGCATATTTGAAGTCAGTGTAAATGTTAGTTACATAGTTACATTTCCCTTGCTTAATTCAAGTGCTTTTGTAAGAGCTATCAGTTCAGCTAGTTGAGTGCTTGTGCCTGGAGAGAGAGGTGCACGTTCAATAACATCATTCAAAATGACTACTTCATGTCCTGTCTTATAGACCTCTTGTTCCACAAAGGAACTTCCATCTGTAAAGAGGTTCCAGTCTGGAGTTTCTAGGGGAGTGTCCCTAATGTCCTCTCTGACTGCATAGGTTTGTACCATGACTCATTCGCAGTCATGTTCAGGTTCCCATTTCATCGGGGAGGAAAGTGGCTGGGTTTAAGCAAGAAAAGTTTTTTACTGAACTGATGACCCCTCTAAGAGGAGAGCCTGATGTTTAAGCAGCCATTTGTCTGTTAGCCAAAGGCTTCCCACAGAAGACAGCAATCCCACTACATCATCTGGGGTATAAACAGTTAAGACATTTCCCAGGGTTAATATGGTGGCCTCTGGTACCAGCAGGACCACTCCAGCAATTGCTCAGAGGCATGCTTGCCATCCTTTAGCCACCAAATCAAGTTTCTTGCTCAAGTAGCCCACTGGCTGTTGAGCTGGTCCTCAAACTTGAGTTAAAACTTCAAAGACCATTTCCTTCTTTTCTGATACATAAAGATTGAAGGTCCTCCTACGGGGAGGCTGATGGCTGGTGCCTTAAGTAAAGCTTGTTTTAGCTGGCTAAAGGCCTTTTGAGACTCAGGTTCCCAGGTTAGGAAATGGCTTTTAGCCACTTGAGTTTCTTTTTTGAGGTAATATAAAAGATTGAATGCCTATTTCACCATACCCAGGTATCCATAGTCTGCAAAATCCTGTAATGCTCCAAAATTCTCTTATTTGCTTGAGGGTTTTAGGGAGGGGGAGGTTGAAAATGGGCTTAATTCTTTCTTCCCCTAATGCTCTGGTCCTTCAGACAACTCTAAACCCAGGTACTTTACTGAGGTTTGGCAAAGCTGGGCCTTGGATTTTGAAACCTTACATTCTGTCATGTAAGAAATTAAGAAGAGCTTCAGTGCCTTCTGGAGAAGCTTCCTCAGTGGGGTCACAGAACAGAAGGTCATCTACATATTGCAAGACCCTGACCTGAGGATGGGAAAACACAGAGAGGTCCTTTGATAGTGACTGTCCAAACAAATGAGGACTGTCTTGAAATCCCTGAGGCAGCACCATCCATGCTAACTGGGTGCTTTGGCCAGAGGGATCTTTGAAAGCAAACAGATAGTGAGAGTCATGATGTAATGGAATACAGAAACAGGAATCCTTTAGATCTAGGACCATGAACCATTTAGTTCCCTCAGGTATTTGAGTCAGCAAGGGATAAGGACTAGGGACCATCAGATGAATTAGAATTATGGCCTCATTAATGAGTCAGAGGTCCTGAACTAGTCTCCATTCCCCATTGGGTTTTTGTAATCCTAATATTGGGATGTTGCAGGGACTGTTACAGGGTTTGAGGAAGCCTGGCAATTAAGGTTATTAATAATGGCTTCTAGCCCTTTCCTAGCCTCTGGCTTTCGGGGACATTGTCTCCGGTTAGGAAAAGAAGTGTAATCCTTAACATGGATTCAGACTCTTAGCGGTTATAGCTCAACCTATTCTTCCTTGAGTTACCCACACTTCTGGATTAGTGGGAAACAAAGAGTTTGTTCTCAGGCTATAAGGATGCTTGCCCCCATGTGAGCTAAAATGTCTCTACCTAATAAAGGAGTGGGACTTTCAGGCATGATTAGGAAGGCATGTGTGGATAATAGGTCTCCCCAGTTACAGCAAAGGGATTGAGAAAAACATTGGGTTAAAAACTTTCTTAAGATGCCTATCACAGTTGTACTACAAGAAGAAGGGAGGCCTCGATAAGAGACAAGAAGAGAGGCTGGCTCCAGTGTTCAAAATGAGGTCCACCCTCCTTCCTTCAATATCCAGAATCACCTGGGACTCCTGAGCAATAATGCAGTTTGAGCCACTGGAGCTGGGAGTTTGAGCCCCAGGACCCATCAGTCCTAATGGACCATCCGTGAGATGAGTCCTGAGCCTAGTGACTTCCATCTCTAGGGGCAGTCCAATCTCCAGTGGTCACTGCCACAGGCTGGACATGGTTGAGGTGGGTATTTATTTTCTTTTTTTGCTGTCTTGGCACTCCTTCTTAAAGTTCCCTGACTTCCCACACTGGTAGCAACTAGCAGATGCGTCTTGGGGATCCTGGACTTGGCAAGCAGCCTCTGTCCTTCTCTTTTGTTTCCTGTCTTTCTCTGGGGCCTCCTCTTGGTCCCTATTATAAAGACAGAGGAGGTTACTCTCATCAGGTTTTCCGAGATGATATCTGGTCCTATATTACTATATTATCCTTCTGTAGCTTCCTTCTGATATCAGGAGCTGCCTGTGTAATAACCGTGTTCTTTAGGAT